AATGATCTCTGCCTTCTCATGGGCAGCGAAGGTGTGGAAGGTGGCAATTTCACGCTGCTATAACGATGAAGCGCGAGCAGTGCTGGCTGCTGGAACATGTGCAATCGGAGCTGCACAGCCTCCGGAGAGCCCAGTCGGCCCAGAGCCGCGGGGCTGCCAGCCACCACCTCCTCTTGCCTGATTTGCCTGCTGGCCCTCGGCCAAAGGCACAGAGAAGCCCAAGTGCCTATCTGACAGCAACACAGTCCTGCTGCTGTTCAGAGAAGAACCGAGTAAAATCCTTCCCTGCCATCATGTGAGGTTGTAGCGACAGGAATGGCACAGTTGGAGTGCACATACATCTGTCCTTACTCTGTCTGTACTATTTCTAGCAGGAAAACAGAGCAGTCGTCTTTGGGGAGGGATGTCTCATGCCTTCACAGCTATTTGCTTCAGTGACTGCAAGTCAGAGCCCAAATTCTGTGTTGAATCTCTTCATTTTGAAGAACCTAGAAGGGAATCGGATCAGATGCAAAAAAATCCCCATGTGCAGTAGAAAAACTCTCCAAGTAATTTAATTGCTACTATAGTCTCTGTTGCTGTTCCTAGCTTTTGAAAAGTGCTTTCTGGAGTCCTTCAAGCCTGATGCTGAGCTGCAGTCCTGTCCCATGTGGTCTCCATTCAGGGAAGAAAACTTCCTGTCTTCCCAAGATGAAGGTGTAAGAGAAAAATACCAGTCCTCCTGGAATGTGGGCTTGAAATCTGTGTAATCCTTTGCAACAGGAGAATGTGAGATACATTTGTTCCAGCTTGCCCTGAGAGGCAGAATAGGAGAGGAAAATTAGGCAATTGTTGTATCAGAGAATAGAAAAGTGAAACCCAGCTGAATTGGTTTCTGTTCATAAACTGCAAGTGATGTGATGCATTTTCTGATGAATTATGTAGAATGGTCTGAATGAAAAATGAGGAAATTGCAGTAGCCAGTTTTGTGGTCTCCTGTATAATTTTTTTTGCATTCATTTATTTGCACTTAAGAGACCCGTGCTAAATTCTTTCTACTTATACAACAGATACAGCCCTTGCAGCAGAGTGTGTGCTGGAGTAGATGACCTTTAACTTAAAACAAGCTGCTTGCACATATGAGTTCAGCTTAACTAATTTCAATTTGAGATAAGCCAATACAAGTTCTTTATCAAGCCTTTAATTTTCCATCTTGCAGAAAAAAGTTGAGTAGTCAAGGTGTTGCATGTTTATTTCTCAGTTTGTTGAACAAATTTGGTTCTTAAATAGTTCCTTTCTTGAATAAGCTAGGCAGGTTTCAGGTATTGTTTGGTTCTTGTGGCTTTGGGAATAAAGAAACCACATAGATCAGGTAATTATCTTAAGTAGTCCTTCAAAGGAGTGAGGAATACGGAAAACTTGGAGTTGTGCATTTATTTTGGGCTCTTAAGGTATATCAAGACTGTCTTGAAAGGAGCCTAAAAGGAGGAGGGGGAACCTGTTTCAAGCCTGAGTTTCAGTGATGTTAATCTTTCTGCATCTTAGAATACTAAAGCAAGAACAACAAAGATGCTAATGGTGCCAGTCTTCACTCAAGGCACTGTTTTTTTTTGGGTGGGTTTGTTTGTTTTTTTTGTGGGTTTGGTTTTTCGTTGTAGTTAAATTGGTGTTAATGGAAGTTGTTCATTTGCTACCAAAAATGCCCCTGCCTTACTGCTTTTGGCTCCTGGCATGTCACCATCTCATTATCTTCTGGGCTAGACAGGGCTTGAATGTCTGATGTATAAAACAGGCAGATTTTCTTCCTCCAAAAAAACTATTGGCCATTTTTCTCCTCAGAGAGAGATAAAATGGCATGAACCCAGTTCTCTTCCTTTTCAGGTCACTTTTTAATGTCTGAACATGCGCTCCCTCTGTACTTTCTGGAAGTTCTACACTTGTTCTAACGCGTGGAAATTCTGGCAGCCTGCTAGATCCTCCCCGGGCACCAGCATCGAACTTTGCTCTTTCATTTCTCACCAGCGCAGTTTTGTGCCAGAGCTGTGAACGGCATCTTTTCTAAGATGTCAAAGTGTCATCTTTTCCTCTCAGATGAGCAAATGTTTAAAATATCCTGCTCTGCTCAATGACTCTAGGTGTTGTCACGGTGTACTATTTTGCGCTGGCCATAATTAAGTTCGGTGGGTTTGGATTTTGTCGAAATGCATTAAGAAATCCCCGTGGTGTTTGAGGATTCTTTTTTTTTTTTTTTATAGGGTGGGTTATAGGTGAAGGCGTTGCTGTGAACGTGGCTGGGAGGCTGATGTACACCAGTTGCCTCTGGGAGTCTTGGAGAGGACTAATGTGTTTCACCTGCCCTGAAATACGAAATATGTTCCTATTTAGCCTCTTGTTCATAAAACAGCAGCTGAGGTTTATGGTGTTTTATGTACACACTGCCTTTTATGACAAAATAGGGATTGTTCTCCTTTGCCAGGTTTTCCTGGGCTTTTGTTTCGAAGTGCAGCATGTAAGCACAACACTGAAGTGTTTAAAGTGGAACAGTGTTAATGAGGTCACTTGTGTATTGCAGCATGACAGATAACGTGCAGAATAATCTACCGGTTTAGTAATTTAATTTGCTGGCTATTATGTTGTTGCATAGCCGTAATTCTCAGTAAGATCCTCCTTTCCTATCCTTAATCTATAAATCTCTCCCACTCGTTGCGTTGGTGGCTTGAGTAGCTGCTGTTTTTTTCTTTCTGCTGGTGTTCAGCATTTCTTTAGCATGTTCTTCTCATGGGTTTTTTTTCCTGTAATTTTTACTAATACTCAACTTCTACCCAGCTTCATGCATCTGTATAGCTTACTGTGTAATCTGTCTTCCTTGTGCTTTGCTTGACAGGCATATAAAGGCTTGGAAAGGATGGCGTTCCTTGTAATAAAAGGGCTGTAATTAGGGTCTTTTTGTTCTAGTTTGCATCACAGGGCTAGAAGCCCTAAGCACTGTGCACTATTGAGACACTGAGGAGCTTGGTCTCATCCTCAGACACGAGAGCAGAATTTCAGTGCTCCTAATTGAGCCTGGCTGCAGATGAGGATGGCTCCACATCCTCGTGGGGTGGATGTGCCCCACTGTGTTTCTCCAGCTTGGCAGGTCATCTGGGAATTGTTTCTCTCTTCTTCCAGTCGCGGGAATTTCCTAAGCAGGAGTGATCGCTGCAGCTGTTTGTTGGATTAGCTGCGTCTTCCACTGAGGCACGTGGATGTCGGCATCCCATCGGACGAGATGTGTTTGAAAGAAAAAAAAAAAATCACAACTCTGTGACCACCGTTTTCTCTTGAAAAACCACTCATTGCTGTGTGCCCCAGGATCAGCATTTGAGTGACAGGAGAGCTGTGTCATGATGTGACAGGGATGCAGTGCCACTGTTACCAAAATGCACCCTGACTGATGAACTAATTGAGCAGGGATCTTCATAGCTGTGAAGGATATTGATGAGATAAACCTAAATTTGAGTCCTGAGGTGTTGGTGCACAATTGGCAGAGGGAGGAGGGCTGCCTGGAAAAGGAAAATAGATACGGCGCTGGGTACTGTGCTCAAATAAGAGGCCATTTTTTGCCTCTGAAGTTCACAGAACTGCATTGACTGATTTGGAGCAAGCTTACCTGGCGCGTATCCATCCTGCAGACAGCCCAATAGGACATCTCGATGGTGTCCCTCCTGGCTGGTGTGAGAGAGCCTGCTACTCTGGTAGGTGTGAGAGCTACTCTGCTTCGTTTACTCTTAGTTACTCGGGTTTTAGGACAAACACAGGTGATGGGGAGGGAAGGAAAGCAGAGCTGGAAAAGTCCCCTTATGTGCTTGCTTGCTGCTCGAACCCATCAGAGTAACAACCAGCCCAGAAAAACCTGAACCAAAACAAGTAAGCAGCCAGCTAGCATGCGATGTACTGACAGAGCACGCGGATGGGAGGAGAGGTGTGACTGCAGAAAGGACATTCATCAAACTACTGGAGTAGTTCCCCAAATCGGGGGGGATCTTATTACTTACATGACAAACCTGGTCTTCTGGTTGGAAACTGAGCTTTGTCCTTTTACTCAGGCCAAGCCCCGGTCATGACTTGTTGATGGGATGGGAGCGCTGCCCTTCTTGGCTGAATAGAAGGGCAGCGCTCTCCAAACAAGTGCTGTAACAGCATCTCCTTTCAAAGGAAGGGCTCAGGAAAACCTTGCTGGTTGTGTGGGATGTCATCTGTTTCTGCCCTAGTCCTTAACCCTTCCTCTTCAGGATCAGGCGGTAGGACCAAAGCAGGACTTTGAAGAGGAAGAAGCGATGGCAGTACTCAAGTGGAGTGCTCTGCCATTGCTGGGGAGACCAAAATAATGAAATGATTTAGATTGGAAGGGAACGTCATCTTGTTCAGATGCCCAGCTCGAAGCAAGGATAAGCTAAGTTAGGGCAAGCTGCTGTAACAAGCCTTAGTTTTCATTAGTGCTCAAGTCTGCAAATTTGCAATAGTTAGGAAACAAAACTAGCTGAAGGCACTTAAATTACGTTGGCCAAAAAGAAGTTGCAGTCCCTCATGTCTTCCCCCTTGTCTTTTTTTCCCTTGTAACATGCTTTGCCTTACTGCAAACCACCCTCCCTGCAGTGGGAAGGGCCACATCTGACATCTGGAGACCACATTGGTCTTTTGCACCTCCTGAGCTAGCTCTCGAGTATGCCTCAGCGTGCAGATTCTCCCGTTTTTTACAATACAAATAGGCAAACTCATATGAAAATGTACTAATAGTTGGGACATAGTTGGGTGGATGTACAAGAAGTAGCAGTTATAGATGGATTTAACATGTTGGCTTCTTCCTTTGCTGAGAGTTTATCTGAATGCCAGAATAGGAAATGGTGCTCTTGATGTCTCCTCTGGTTAGCAACCAGTGAAGACGTGCTCCTAAGTAGGGATGGCATTTTACACGCTTCTGACCCAAAAGCTGCGGCTGGATTTACACAAGCGTGGATTACTTGTTTTGATATGTTTATTATTTATTGCCTTGGAGATAAAACTGGCTTTTGCATAAACTTCATAAATGCCAGTGTGGTTGTGTGAGCTGGATTGAGGAACTCACCCAGGCTAAAATACTTTTTGGTGTGGTTTTTTTTTTTTTTTCACCCAGCTCCTGTGCAGCTGCTTTGTGTCCCAGCACAAGAGAAGTGCCACGGGGATGGGAGCGAGCGGCAGAAGAGGGTTGGACTGGCTTCTGGTGCTCATAGGGGCAGCTTAGTATATTCTTGCAACTTCAGCTTTGTATATTCATTGGGATACTCCAGAAATAATCTTTTATGCTCTACATGAGTTGAATATCATTTTAGGAAGTGGCCATATGCTGCTGATGTACGAGAATGATACTGGTGTTATAAAAGAAAACGTATTCCCTAAGGATTTTCCCTGTGCAGTGCTGTTCTCCCGTATCCTCATATTTGCCAAAGGCCTCACACCCGAAAGGGAAGCCCCATGTGGGCTTTTGTAGAAAAGCCTTTGGTGAGGTGACACATGAAGGGGAAAAAAGGGACCTGATGGGAAATGTGCAAATGCCCCAGGAAGAGAGTGTCTTTTTAGCAGAAGGAAGCTTTTTTGAAGCATGATAGTCTTACTGCATGTTTTCAGATACTTTTTGGGTGACATTTTACAACTGCAGGTGTCTCAGATTGATAACAGCATGATACGAGCTCACTGTTAGGCTTTTTTCAGTTTTGAGTGCAGAAGTGGACCAAACACTTGATGGTGAAGAGAGCGAGACGCCTTCCCCTGGGCAGCTACAGACCATCACTGCTGCTGTGATTTTGGAGAAGGTCATGAAATTACCCATCCAGTGTACCACTATGATAGCAGCATAAATAAAAAGTGTTATTCCTTAGGGGTTTTTTTTCTGTCTAGCCACTCTGATTTTGAAAGTGTTTTAAAGCCTGATGCAGAAGAGGATCTTGATCAAAGGGAAGAAATAAATCATGTGTTTTGCCTGACATGTGACCTCTTACTGCCACGGGAACCTGCCTCGCTTTACAAGACTGTTGTGGGTTCTGTGCTTTCCCTGCTAAC